CAGGCACCTGAACACCCTGTGGCTCCATCTGCCACATAAACTCTCTGGCCCATGGCAGGACAAGAAACAGAACTGAAGTCAGTTTTCTCTAGTCCTATCCTATAATAGCAGTTTTCCATTTAAAGGAGAGACACCTCAGAGGGAAAAGCAAACAAAATAAAAACGCATTCTGCAAAGGGTATGGGAACAAATGAAAGAGACTTTGCCCTGTTTCCCATCCTGAGACAAAGGGACTTTTCATTGTTCTCTTCCCCCAGGCAATGTACACCTGAGGCTTATGCAGCTCAGAGTCCTGTCAAAACCATTTCAACCGGCAGAGAACCAAGATAACAGGAAAGCATCTTTCCTGGCACAGGCAGAGAGGTAAAGGACGCGGTGTACCAACAGGTTAGCCAGAGCTCTGAACTGAGCAAGCAGCACGTTAAGAGGAAGAGTCCAGAAAAGCACCTTTGTTTTTCCGGCCGTCATCCAGCAGTGGCTGGTCTCTTAATGCAAAAAGAAGTGCTAAACCATCGAGGGCTAGCCCCATCCTGCCTGCCACCATTACAGAGGTGGAGAGCCAGGGCTTGCCTAGGTTCCCCTTCTGCTCATGTGAACATTGATGTGCGATTGCTTGCTTGCTGATGTGTATAAATAGACACTTTTGTCCTTGTCTCTGCCTGCTGGTACTGTGCCTTCCACCCTATCCTCTGCAAGGGCTACTATCTGTCATTGCAGTCATCTGGTCCCTTTAACATAGCTACAATTTCACACAGAAGCAAGTGGTTAAAGTGTTAACCTCTCCCCGTTTATCCAGTATTGGTTCCTGGAAAGACTACCAACCTAATACGTTATATGGACATACAATAAGGTCTTTGTTCTGATGACGGAAGGGCAGCAGGGAGGGGACAGCAGGTGATGAGCCCAGCCTCCCTTAGAAAGGAAGTCCACAGCCTGGGAGCAGCCACAGAGAAGGTCCTTAAAACCATGTTATAACCAATCACCTTTAAAAAAACAAAAATACATCCTTTCCCATACAACCCAAATGTTTTTCCCCTGCAGAAGAACTGAATCCATCATGTAAGAAAAATTATCTCTTCTGCTCAGAATGTTACATAGCTACAGTTGTTTTGAGGTTATTATTATTATGGGGTTTTCTTTCTAAGAAGGAAGAAAATCTTGCTATGTTTTCCCCCCATGACTCTCAGCAACAGAAAGTTCTACAGGACAGCTGTCTCTTGCACGACAGGAGGGTTTCCTTTGATCAGGGTAGAATGTAATGTGCCGTTCCTTGCCTGCTCCCTCCCTTTTGCATACCTGCAGGTGCAGCAAACACCTTGTGCAGGAGCCACCTGACGGCTTGCTGGCGGTGGTGGAAGGCAGGAGCCCACAGCTGGTTCTAATCACCCAGGGGCTGGGCCGGGAATGGCAAGCAAGGTTTGGCAGGGAACACACTCAACGCACGCATGTTTGTGTTTCAGAGGAAACCAAGCCCACAGGGGCGTCAGCGACAGCGTAAGGGGTGTCCCACCCACCGCTGGACGTCAGCAGCTGGAGGGGCCCCCAACTCACGTCAGCAAGGCTCAGAAGTACACACGCCAACATCCATATATGGGCCATGTGGGGAATCCCTTTTGAACTGGGAATCTTCCCCTCCTAGGCCCAAATTTTCAGGCCCAAGCTTGGAAGGCCTGGCCTGACTGATGCCAAAAAAAGAGGGGGATGTGACCAAGTAAACACTGGCTGCATTCCTTTCATTTTAGCACAGTTATGAAACAGTTTCTTTTGCCAGAACTGGAGGCAAAGCTTGGGAAAGTTAACCAATTTGTACACGTTTCTAGAACTGCAGAAATGTCACTTGCCTTACACTAGCTCATGAGTCATTTATAAAGACTGGATTTCAAGCATGGATGTTTACACCGGCTGCCAAAATGCTTCTGTAATCAGGCCACCTGGTTTCCATGTAAGACCAGCCAACCATGAGGTGAAAATCTCAGCTGGTAATCCAGCAAGGAAATTCTCCTGAACCCAGTGGCTGTCTTTGTTGACGGGAGCAAGAGCATTGTGTGTAGGCATAGATAGACAGATAGTAATAAATTTCTGAATGAAGAAGGGAGGCATTTTAACCATACTACTACCACACTTGCTTTGATCCCACAATTCTACAGTCTCAGATGGATCCAAAACCCATATGCAGAGATGCATACATTTTGTATTAAAGATCTAATTCTCTGTTGAGAGAAATGTTCAGGTTGCAAAACTCAGCTTATGTATTCCATAGTTCAATTTATTTCAGGATTGGCAAACATTTGAACTGAAATGTTCTGTTGGACTACAGTTCCCATCATTCCTTACCTTTGACTATGCTGGCTGATGGGAGTTGCAATCCAACAACATCTGGACGGCCACATATTCCTGGTTTATATCCTAGCTTGAAGCACTAAAATATCCAAGGCAGCTAAACATACTTTAATATGTAGAATGTCACAAATTCAGTCTCCAGCATCTCTGGGGAATGGTTGGAAGAACCTCAGCTTGAAATCCAGGACAGTTGCTGATGGTCCTTGTCGACAATACAAAGTTGGGCTAGATAAATCAATTGTCTGACTCAGTATAAGGCAGCTTCCTAAGCTCCTACCATCACAAAGTTAATCATGACACAAAATGTGTGCTTTGTTAAATATTGAAAGTTCACTTCCCTATCTCCAAGTCCTACTCAGCTCTCACTTCAGCAGCAGTCTTGAGAACTAGAGACTTTCCTTTAAAAAAAAAGCAAAGGTACTGTATGAAAGATACATCTCATCCCATGCTGACAAGATCCGAGTGCCAATGTATCTAATTCATACAGTCTATGTAAATCTCCAGCACACTTATTTGTTGGAAAGGAGAACAAGGAAAAGGTCCTTTAAAAACAGATGTCCTTTAAACTGTTGGTAAGACTTCAATAGGTTGTCAGTGAATGCTGCTTGGTAATTAGGGCTGAGAACGAGGGTTGCAATAAAGATCTTAAGTGTTTTGTCACTCCAATGACTCTAAAACGTTTAATTTTAAGAAAATTCTACTCCCCTTGTGCCCTCTAAGGGAGTTGTGGTGGTGGGGATTAAGACTTTCTTCCTTGTTAGCCAAACAAATGAGGCATCTCTTCTAACAAATAGACAGCAACATTCAAGGGCTTCAGATCTCAAGTTATACACTGCAGAGTAAATTCAACAGAATTCAGTGGCACTTACTGTACTTTCCAATAAAAAATAAGATTTCACCAGTGGATCAATTGCTATGCTATTATTTGAGAGCATACATCATTACATTCAATGAGATTTTACTTCTATAGATACAATACACAGAAGAGCAGATTGAAAGCAGTTTCAAGCAAGCCTCCCTTTATTCATCTGCATTCACACCTACCATTTTCTTCTAAGGGTTGACAAAAAAAGGATCCTTAATAAATGGCTGAAATCCTGTAGTGCAGCAATTGCCTCAAGTTAAGAAATGTCTGTAGGCATTACCTGCTGCTCATCAAGTTGCCACTAAAAGTTATGCCTTTTGTGTAATCACACAACAGCCTTTCAGCCAATTATTTAGATAATAATGTGCCATCACCCGGTTTATAAAAGGTCACCGGAGACACGATGTACATGAAAACAGTTAACAAAGATATGGTAGGAAATAGATTTCAAAATGAAGTCATTTTTATGCAGTTATCAACTGTGTTCAGCCCACAAGACCAGAAGGTTCTCACTGGTCAGCGTTTAATAATGTAATTAACACTCTCAGTCCTTTCTTTATCAAAATGCACACACAACCTTGCCATGTGACCTCCACCCTAGGCAACATACATTGCACATAGATTACACTCCCTCCCCCTGAGAAGATGGGTTGTAGCTCATCCTATAATCAATTTTGTTCAGCCTCAAAGGTGCCACAGGTCTGTTTTACCTGCAATTAATTAATACATCTGCCACTTTGGAAAAGATCCAGATCCTGGTCACCTTGTTGTTTTTTTTTTTAATTATGCCAAAGTGGGAGCAAAACGAGTACAAGAGCTACAGCTCCGCTGTACCGGAAGACTTCTATTTGCATCCGAGTGACAGGAAAGACATTTCTATTTTTCTATCCAAAACAAACTTTTGTTGTGTTTGGGTTTATTTTATTTTTATCTGATTGCAAAACCTGAAACGGCCTGGGCTTTGCAAGCCCCATGAAGAAAGGACAAAGATCTTAAAATAGACCTTTGCCTTGCAGAACAGAACCCTTCCTTCCCATAAGGTGGGGAAACCCTCAGGCGCCCGGAGAGACAGTTCACTTGTGGGCCAAACCATAACAAAACCAAAAGCCCAAGGAAGGAAGGAGTGGAAGTCTTGGGCAAATTCTGCCCTCCTGGAATGCAGGAAGATAAAGAACAGGAACGCTCTGCTCCAATCTACCTACAGGGGCTGGACAGGTAGTCCGCTGAACCTAGAGGAGAGTTGTTGCTGCGATGTGCCATCAAGGGGCCCCTGATTTACAGCGATCCTATGACTAAACGACCTCTCTCGTTAAAAAAAGCCCCGCTCAGCTCTTGCAAACTCAAGCCTGTGGCTTCCTTCATGGAGTCAACCCATCTCATATTTAGCCTCCTCTTTTTCTACTGCCTTCTACGCTCCTGGAACAGTTTACTCCCACACAAATGATTGTAGCGCAAGATTTGAGAGGGACGTGGAGAGGGGTCTCCCCAAACCTCCCCCTTGAAACCTTCGTTTCCGGTCCCCGTCGAGGGAGAAAAACCTCGACTATGAAACTCTCAATGGATGAGAGAAAGAAAAGACAGTGCCTCCTCTCATATACTCCAGGACTTCTTCCACTGAACCGGAAAGAGGGGGGGGGAAGAGAGGATTATTTTTTTTAAGCCCCGTTTCCAAGGATTCGCGAGCAGCAACGACGACGCCAACAAGCACAGGGAGGCGAGTTCAAGGGCCGGCGGGGAAAACAGAGCGGAAGAAAGAGCCCTCCTTCGGGAGCCCCCCCGACCCCCCGGCTCTCACCTGTTCTCTCCCCCGGCGCTCGCGGCGTCCCCTCCCGGGCGAGCCACCCGGCGGCGAAACCCGGGGCGCAGCCTCCCGAGCCATGCTGACCCCGAGGCGAGCGCCGGCTCCCCCACTTCCTCCCGGGCAACAGGATAATCAGCGTGCGCGCTGGCTGCCTCCCTCCCGCTCTCGCTCTCGGCTGCTGGCGGAGGGCTCCTTCTCCGCCTCCTACGCTCCTGCCCCGGCTCACTCGCCCGCCTGCCCGCCCGCCTGCTCCGTCTGCCGCTTTATTTTCTGCAAACCCCGCCTCGGCCAGGAAGGAGCCTCCGTGACGTCAACGCCCGGCTCCATTGACGTCGTCGGAATCCCAGCCATCAATGGGGCTAAAAATAGCCGCCTCCGAAAAAGCCAAAAATACGCGCACGGCTCTCCCTCTCCGTTCCCACC